GGGGACTGGGGGTGGGTGTGTTCTGTAGGACCATCACTCTCGCTAGGCGTAAGAGCAGGATGATGTGGGGTGCTGAATCCCTCCAGTCCCTGGGGAAGGCCGTGGGGATGGACATTCAGCATCTTACAGAACTGAGCCATTTATTTTTGCCCCAAATTCACTCTTGTTTATCTGCATAGAATCTCAGGGTTGGAAGGGACCTCAGGAGGTATCTAGTCCCACCCCCTGCTCAAAGCCGGACCAATTCCCAACTAAATCATCCCAGCCAGGGCTTTGTCAAGCTGGGCCTTAAAAAAGTTAGGGCCTTGACCATTTCGTTGAAATGGTCAATCATTTGCTCCATTTCATTGACGGCTTCTCGGACTTTAGCTGCCAGCTCCGTTTTTGCACCTTTGTGGAGATCCATAGAATCTTTTGCTACAAAGAAAATATCTAACCCCAGGGTGAGAACTGTTAGAACACTGGTCGCAGCTCCTGCAAATTTTGCAATTCTACCAACATTAGCCAGGAGCTGACCAGCTTTGACCATTTTCATGATGTTAAGAACAGCTCGTCCTGCCCCTGAACCTATCTGTGGAATTGCAAACACAAAACCTTTCTTTTCATTATCTTTCAAGTTTTGGATTTTTTCAGCTATTCTTTCTGCATAGTCTTTGATATGGTCCACGTCAGCCTGACACTCCTGTAAGAGTTTCTCTACTGTCTCCCTCTTGACTTTACTTGCAACTATATCTGTGGTGGTTGCGGCTGCACTGGTCAGTCCCCCTGCGGTAGAAACAGCAAGCCCTGTAAGAGAGACTATCAGGGATGCTCCAAATGTAACAGGAATGAGACAGAGGCCTACGATGGTTGTTATCCCCCCGGCAATTCCCACTGTCCCTCCAGTAATGTTTGCTATTGTCGCTCCTTTGTGGATCTTGTCAAGAGCATCTGCAATTTCCCGAAGCTCATCTATGTGTCTCTTCACTCTGTCTCTTGCTGGCAATAACGTCAGTATTTCATCAATGTCCTTCATTATTGACAAACTGACAGAAATGAGGGAAAAAGGAAAAATTAGTCTCCAGGTCTAAGATCCCTGCTCTTGCACCTTCTTGGGCAGTCTGGACCTGCTCCCATTGACTTCCATGGGAGCTGCGTCCACTTAGACCAGGGCTGAGTTTGGGCCTTGGTGACGGGTGAACCTCAGTAAGTTTCATTTGGATAAAGACCCAGAATTTAACTTAGGACCGTTGGAATTGCCACACTGGATCAGATCAACGGCACATCTGCAGAAGACTTGTGGTGTGTCTCCAAGAGGGACCAGTAGCCGGTGATTTACAGGAATGTGAAAACACCCTTAAGGGAAAATTGTGGAATAAACTGCCCAGAGGTTAATTTAAGAGTCGATTCCACGGAGAGGGTTCAACTCCAACACACACCCAGGTAGGGGAACACAAACAACCCCCCCACACACACACACACACACACCGCTTTAAAAATTAACTTAAAAAGAAACCAGACATTCTGATTTGTGGGGTCCAGGCCTGATCATCTCCCCCTCAGGCTTGTTCAAACACTCCTCCTGGGATGAGCTTCCTGGCTCTCTGCTCCAACCACATCACCCCGTTGTCACTCCCCTAGTTCCCTCTCCTCCCCCATGTCAAACCCCAGCTCCTGGCCTTCGCTGGTTGGGCCCTTCCCTGTTCAGTCCCCGCCCCTCCCCCGCTCAGTTATAGCAGTGATTCTCAACCAGGAATCCGGGACCCCTTGGGGGGGTCGCGAGTAGGTTTCAGGGGATCCGCCAAGCAGGGCCGGCATGAGATTTGCTGTGGCCCAGAGCAGAAAGCCAAAGCCCGACTGCACGGGGCTGAACCCCGGGGCTGAAGTTGAAGCCGGAGCAATGTAGCTTTGCGGGGCCCCCTGTGATGTGGGGCCCTGGGCACTTGCCCTGCTTGGTGCCCCTAAGGCCGGCCCTGGCTTTTATATGCAGGAAAACAGTTGTTGTGGCACAGGGGGGGCCGTGGAGTTTTTATAGCATCTTGCAGGGGGGGGGGGCGCTCAGAAAGAAA